GCTGCACTCGCAGAGCTCAGGCGGTGTTGTATTTCAGTGTAAAATATTGACATCTGTAGACAGTCCTTGTCTCACAAGCATATAGCAGGGTTGGGATGACAATAGCTTTATAGACAAGCACCTTGGCATCCCTACGGATGTCCCAGTCCTCAAACACACTCTGCTTCATTTGGAAAAATGCTGCACCCGCAGAGCTCAGGTGGTGTTGTATTTCAGTGTCAGTGTTGACGTCCGTAGACAGTCCAAGTTTTGCAGGCGTATAGCAGGATTGGGAGGACAATAGCTTTATAACCAAACCTCTTGGTTTCTCTACAGATTTCCCGGTCCTCAAACACTCTCTGCTTCATTCAGAAGAACGCTGCACTCGCAGAGCTCAGGCGGTGTTGTATTTCAGTGTCGATGTTGACTTTGGTGGAGAATCTGTAGAGTTTGAAGGGAGCCCAGAGGCCATCTAGTCCATCCCCTTCTGCTTTGCAAGAAGGCACAATCCTCTAGACCAGTGTTTCTCAACCTTCCTAATGCCGCGACCCCTTAACACAGCTCCTCATGTTGTGGTGACCCCCAACCATAACATTATTTTTGTTGCTACTTCACAACTCCAATTTTGCTTCTGTTATGAATCGCCATGTAAACATCCGATATGCAGGATGTATTTTCATTTACTGGACCAAATTGGGCACAAATACCCAATACGCCCAAATTTGTATACTGGTGGGGATGGAGAGGGATTGATTTTGTCATTTGGGAGTTGTAGTTGCTGGGATTTATAGTTCACCTACACTCAAAAAGCATTATGAACTCCACCAATGATGGAATTGAACCAAATTTGGCACACAGAATTTTCATGACCAGCAGAAAATACTGGAAGGGTTTGGTGGGCATTGACCTTGAGTTTGGGAATTATAGTTCACCTACATCCAGAGAGCACTCTAGACTCAAACAATAAGGGATCTGGACCAAACTTTGCATGGATACTCAATATGCCCAAATGTGAACACTGGTGGAGTTTGGAGAAAATAGACCTTGACATTTGGGAGTTGTAGTTGCTGGGATTAATAGTTCACCTACACTCAAATGGCTTTCCAAACTCCACCAACAATGGAATTGAACCAAACTTGGCACACAGAACACTCATGACCAACAGAAAATACAGGAAGGGTTTGGTGGGTATTGACCTTGAGTTTGGGAGTTGTAGTTCACCTACATCCAGAGAGTATTGTGGACTCAAACAATGATGGATCTGGACCAAACTTGGCATGGATACTCAATATGCCCAAATGTGAACAATGTTGAAGTTTGGGGGGAATAGACTTTGATATTTGGGAGTTGTGGTTGCTGGGATGTATAGTTCACCTACAATCAAAGAGCATTCTGAACTCCACCAATAATTGAATTGAACCAAACTTAGCACACAGAACTCCCACAACCAACAGAAAATACTGGAAGGGTTTGGTGGGCATTGACCTTGAGTTTGGGAGTTATAGTTCACTTATATCTAGAGAGCACTGTGGACTCAAACAACGATGAATCTGGACCAAACTTGGCATGAATCCTCAATATGCCCAAATGTGAACACTGGTGAAGTTTGGGGAAAATAGACCTTGACATTTGGGAGTTGTGTTTGTTGGGATTTATAGTTCACCTACAATCAAAGACCATTCTGAACACTGCCAATGGTAGAACTGGGCCAAATTTGAAATAACACTTTCAAATTAGGAACAGTATATTTTTCAGATGTTGTTACACAGTATTTTAGAACAGTTGGAAGGGACCCTCAGAGGTCATCCAGTCCAACCCACAGTTGCCATGCACCATTGCATAGCCCTGACATTCATACACAATATAGTCTACACATGTGCATGTATGTGCATCCATGCTCCTTCTACATCCATGCATTATATTGCTATTTGTCAAATTCCACTCCTGCAGTCTTAAACAGGAATGGACAGAAATGCCCAACCGCTGGCACATGAAAATGTATGCATGTGAAAGACACCCACCGGACTCTGGCCAAGGCTTTTCCATGCCAGGCAATGCATAGCTTGGGCGCATCCCTAATTGCATGGATAGTCATAGCGCTGCAGAACCAGCGGCGCATGAAAATATTGCTGAGTGCGGTGTTTGCAAGCTGCCAGCCTTTCCTTGCCCAAAGGCCTCTTCTCCCTTGGACTGCTAGTTTGCAAACCACTCTCTTCAGTGTTTTCTATAAGATCAAAGACCTATAGAGCTGAAGGGGACCTCCAAAGGCCATCCAGTCCATCCTCCTTTTGCAAACCAAAGCCCTCCTGACAGATGGACATTCAGCCTCTGCTTAAAAACCTTCAGAGAGGGAAAGACTGCAAAGCAAAGTATTGAACAGCTCTAACCACGAGGAACCCCTTTGGTGGTGCAGTGGGTCAAACCGCTGAGCTGCTGAACTTGCTTACCGAAAGGTTGCAGGTTCGAATCCGGGGAGTGGGGTGAGCTCCTGCTGTTAGCCCCAGCTTCTGCCAACCTAGTAGTTTGAAAACATGAGTAGATCAATAGGTACTGCTCTGGCAGGAAGGTAATGGCGCTCCATGCAGTCATGCCCATGGCCTCATGATCTTGGAGGTGTCTACAAGCAAGTTTGAATCCAAGCAGTGGGGTGAGCTCCCACTGTTAGCCGCAGCTTCTGCCAACCTAGCTGTTCCAAAACATGCAAATGTGAGTAGATCAATAGGTGGGACGGTAATGGCGCTCCATGCAATCATGCCCATGGCCTCATGACCTTGGAGGTGTCTACGGACAACGCCGGCTCTTTGGCTTAGAAATGGAGATGAGCACCAACACCAGAATCGGATACGACTGGACTTAATGTCAGGGGAAAACCTTTACCTTTCTTTACCTTTAGCCACGAGGACATTCATTCTCTATCTGCATTTCATTTGTATTGTGTACTTTTCTCCTCGTTGGAATCCCATCCAAGTCCTAACCAGGGCTGACCCTGCTTAGCATGCAAGATCCAATGGAATCTGTTGCCTTGAGGGTCTTTTAGACCCCATTTCGTCTCTGGGGAGCAATGATCTGTGTTTTGATACTGGCTCAACTGTTTGTGGCTATTGGAGAGGAAGGTTATCACCAGCTAGTCAGCTCCCAACAAAGGATTCCCCAGGCAGTAAGAAGCCAGACCTTGAAACTGCTGGGCCATTAAATGCTAATTAAGGTGGCCAATTGCTACATTCACACCTACCTCAAACAGACAGGAGTTGGGTTGTTGTAGGTTTCTTCGGGCCATATGGCCATGTTCTAGAGGCTTTCTCTCCTGACGTTTCGCCTGCATCTAGGGCAAGCATCCTCAGAGGTAATGAGGTCTGTTGGAACTAGGAAAAAGGGTTTATATATCTGTGGAAAGACCAGGGTGGGGCAAATGACTCTTGTCTGCTGGAGCTAGATGTGAATGTTTCAACTGACTGACCACCTTGATTAGCATTTGATGGCCTGGCAGTGCCTGGGGCAATCTTTTGTTGAGAGGTGAGTAGATGTCCCTGATTGTTTTCCCTCTACTGTTTTGCTGTTCAAATTTTAGAGTTTTTTTAATACAGGTAGCCAGATTGTGTTCATTTTCATGGTTTCCTCCTTTCTGTTGAAATTGTCCACATGCTTGTGGATTTCAATGGCTTCTCTGTGTAGTCTGACATGGTGGTTGTGAGAAATGAACAAAATCTGGCTACCAGTATTAAAAAAAACTCTAAAATAGAGGTCATACAAAGTTGAGTTTACATAGGAAGTTGAGTTGTGGTTAAGCCAAAGGTTGTGGTTAAGCACAGAGTCTGCAGGTACAAGGAGGTACTTTCCATCAAAAGGTCAAGGGAGGGGGGGGGCAGGAAAGAGAGTACTTTCCATGACCTATTACTTGAGTATAATGGTCAGCAGAAATAGAGGAGGGGGCGGCAGACTTTGAAAGCACAAACAAAAGTGCTGTTGGGGTTCAGCCTGAGTTTGAACTTGAACCTGATTCTCTGTTTGTTCCTCCTGATGCTAATGAAAGTATAGTTACTGATGCTAGTGGAAATGTACCTTTTGATGCCAATGCTCCTGAAATTAGTGAGGAAGAAACTGCTGTAGGTTGGAAAATGCCAATGTTCCTGAAATTAGTGAGGAAGGAACTTCTGTAGATTTGGAAAATGAAAGTACCAGTGTTCATGAGAATGTTTCAGAGGGAGACCTTGAACTTTCCCTCCCTTCTGCACCTGTTAACTGTAATGACAACAGAAGGGGCCAAATTTGGGAAGACAGAAGTAAATCACTCAGTTTGCGTCGATCCTCCCGAATTCAAGAATTAAAAACATTGGCTTCAAAACAGAAGGGCGGTTCACGGAACCAATTCTTGAGTTTTAATTGCAATACGCCGAGCTGATTGTCTCAGTTCAGGCATCGTTTCAGAATTGATGAAGACCTTGGCAGTTCTCCCGGTTCCCTGGCCATAGTTTGGGAAGATTTCTAGGATATCAAGTACGGTTAGTGGATTGCTAACAGGTTCCAGTATTTCCAGTGAGGCTTTTGGTTTTGCTTTGTCCATTTAAATTCATGTTTGCTGATTTTGCTGTGGCTTTTGACTTGCATTTTTCCTTTATTTTGTAACCATTTTTCTTCAATAAAAAAGGATTGTTTTTCACAGCCAAGTGTGGTGGATAGTTATCTTAGGGCCTCGTTCCCTGCTCTGGATTGCAACAAGTGCTTCTGTCCATCTCATGTTGATCAACTTGATTAAATCGTGTCTTACATGAACCAATTGGACTCTGTGGATTTCTTTGAAAAGGGACCCCACACCCTAAACCCGTTATCCTTTACAGAAATATGTAAAACAATACCATCCCCTTCCTCATTCTTAGATCTAACTTCCTCACAAAACGCACAAAACTCTATCAATATATTATACTTCCCTTGGCCTGCGTTTGCAATGCTCTTTGATCAGTGGTATGTTGACCCAGCACAGAATGGTCCTGATTCCGATCTCTTTCCGTGTTTATCTCAAACAGGGCCTGAAAGCGTTTTCCCTGGATCCGCCTCCAAAGAGGGCCAAGAAACCGCCGCAAAAGGACCTTTGGAAGGAACTGACGGAGCTGGAGAGTATGTAGCCACAGAGCCCCGAAACTGAATCCTTAGCGAGCCGAAGATCCAGTCTTTGGCTGCGTCTACACTGTAGAAGGAATGCAGGTTGATTCCACTTGCACTGCCATGGTGCAATGCTATGGAATCCTGAGAGTTGTAATTTTGTAAATAGAGTTGGAACCTTACTTACTTACCTGCTCAGTTACTTAGGTGATCCCTCATAGCTTGAGGATGATTGGCTTCCAGATGTGGTGTCTTGGTGGTGGGTTCGTAGGTGGCTGTGGAGTCCTAATCTGGACCCATGTGTTTTCCCGCAGTGAGGGCATTAAAATGATCAAGGGTCTGGATAACAAGCCCTATGAGGAGCGGCTTAAGGAGCTGGGCATGTTTAGCCTGAAGAAGAGAAGGCTGAGAGGAGATATGATAGCCATGTATAAATATGTGAGAGGAAGCCACAGGGAGGAGGGAGCAAGCTTGTTTTCTGCTTCCTTGGAGACTAGGACGCAATGGAACAATGGCTTCAAACTACAAGAGAGGAGATTCCATCTGAACATTAGGAAGAACTTCCTGACTGTGAGAGTTGTTCAGCAGGGGAACTCTCTGCCCGGAGTGTGGTGGAGGCTCCTTCTTTGGAAGCTTTTAAACAGAGGCTGGATGGCCATCTGTCAGGGGTGATTTAAATGCAATATTCCTGCTTCTTGGCAGAATGGGGTTGGACTGGATGGCCTATGAGGTCTCTTCCAACTCTTCCAACTGGATGGCCTATGAGGTCTCTTCCAACTCTTTGATTCTATGATTGGTTTCCAGATGGAAGGCAATCCTGGTCAGGATTGGCTTCACGTGCCTTCCTCTTGGAACATTTCTCCCTTTCGCCCTCCATTCATGCCTCTTCGAATTCTGCAGCACTGCTGGTCACAGCTGACCTCTAGTTAGAGTGCTCAAGGGACAGGGCTTCCCAGGTCTCGGTGTCTATGCCACAGTTTTTAAGGTTGGCTTTGAGCCCATCTTTCAATCTCTTTTCCTGTTCAACAGTGTTACATATCCCGTTCTTGAGTTTGGAGTAGAGTAACTGCTTTGGGAGACGGTGATCGGGCATTCGGACAGCGTAGCCAGTCCAGCGGAGTTGATGGCGGAGGAGTATCACTGTTTTGCTTCTTCCAGCATGCTGGCATTTGTACGCTTGTCTTCCCAAGAGATTTGCAGGATTTTTCGGAGGCAGCGTTGATGGAACCAACTAGGAAATGACATTGATAACCCAAGAACGAAAATCATATCACATAGTGCAATGGCTACCTGACCTTTATAACAAAGGAAGCGGGCCAAGCCAAAGATTAGGGTTGTTGGGATTTGGAGCATTTCTTTATGGGTTCTTGAAGGTTTTTTCGGGCTATATGGTCATGTTCTAGAGGCATTCTCTCCTGACGTTTCGCCTGCATCTATGGCAAGCATCCTCACAACCTCTGAGGATGCTTGCCATAGATGCAGGCGAAACGTCAGGAGAGAATGCCTCTAGAACATGGTCATATAGCCTGAAAAAACCTACAATAACCCAGTGATTCCGGCCATGAAAGCCTTCGACAATACATTTCTTTATGGTTTGAAATGGTCCCTCTTTTGGCAGGCAGCTCAGAAAGTGACCAGCGAAGCAGCACTGAGGAAGAGGAAGAGGAAGAGGAAGAGGAGGAAGGCCTGGACCTGGGAGAAGCCCCCACTCCGCTCTCCGAATTTCGGTCACTGAAACAAGCAGCCACTGCAAAGCTCTCCCTTGCAGAAATGGGATCCTCTGGAGAAAAGGTATTGCTCCCATTGCCCTGAGTTTGCCCTGGTCATGTCAGGACATGTCATCATCATCATCATTAGTATGCTATGTAAATGATTTTTGTTGCTGGGTTATCAATGTCATTTCCTAATTGGTTCTGTCATAAAAACATAGGGAAAGTTTATTAAACTGCCAGAACGTTCCCTTTGTGGGAGGGACATCCTGCTATAGCACATTTGGCTCTAGTTTTTCAATGAATATCTCATAGAGTCTGAGCCCAGTTAACATAGTTTGTGGCAGACACAAAAACAAAGCTTCTGGGGCATAACAACTACTTTCAAAGTAAATACCACTTTGAAATTTAGCTATAGTTTTGCACTGAATATCTTGTCATTGAGTCTCACGCACTGCTATCTAGGTTGTAACACAAAAACCAAGTTTCTGGAGATGGTTTCCCATCCAAAGTGCCAACCAAAATGGATCCTATTTAGTAGCTTCCAAGATCAATGTATATGAATGTGCCTATGAGTTGCATGTTTACTTATGGGGATTTTAGAAGGTTTTCTTAAGGCAGGAATATTCACAGCCAGCGTTGCTCTGATCCTTCCTCTGAAATAGAGAGCTTGGTGGTCTCCTATCTAAGTACAAACCAGAGCTGACCCTGCTTAGCTTCAGCAGATATAAATGTGTCTTCAAGTTACCCGTTGACTTATGGCGAGGCTACTATGGTTGAGGGTTTTCTTAGGCCAGGAATACTCAGAAGTAGGGTTTAGCCAATTCCTTCCCCTGAAATCTTACTCTGGGATTCCTTTGTGGTTTTCCATCCAAAATGCCAACCCTATTTAGCTTCCAAGATCAATGTATATGGAAAAGTCTATAAGCCACCTGTTATGGAGACCCAATGAATTTTAGAGGGTTTTCTTAAGCCGGGAATATTCAGAGCCAGCTTTGCTCAGTTCCTTTCTCTGAAATAGAGAGCTTGGTGGTCTCCCATCCAAGGACCAACCGGAGTTGACCCTGCTTAGCTTCCGCAGATATAAATGTGTCTTCAAGTTGCCTGTTGACTCATGGTGACCGTAATACCATGAATGAGGGCTTCCTTAGGAATATTCAGAGCCAGCTTTGCTCAGTTCTTTCCTCTGAAATAGAGAGCTTGGTGGTCTCCCATCCAAGTGCCAACCAGGGCTGAGGAAGACATGGCAGTCTGTGACTGTATCGTTCATTGTGATGATGGTTGTGCTGTGGACAGACCTATACAGCACGCAAAATTATATTTACCCTTTCAATTTTATGTCGAACTGAAATGGTAAAGATAAATTTCAGACACTCTGCGCATGGATGTGTTGCACTCCAGGCCAGGAAAGCCCTCTGATTCAAACACCACACAGTTGAGTAAAATGCCAGCAGTTTATTGAAGACTATTAAAAGTAGTAGCAGTAAAAAGTAATTACAAAAATAGGTAGAAAAGAAAGATAGGAACAACAAACCCAGAAAATAGTCCATCAGAGTTCATGACAACAAATACTGGAACTTCCAAGGCAAAACTCCAAAATTTGAGCATGAATCAAACAAGGCACATCAGCATGGAAATAGCAAGGCACTTGATACAAGAATCGATCCAAGGCAAGGCTTGCAGGGACCTGAGACGATGTCTTGACTCAATTCTAACATTGCTTCATCTGACTACAGATTCTGTACTTGGCACTTTTAACCCTTAATCTACTCTATATCCTAAGCAGCCAGGAAAGGATTTCTTTTCAGCCTTGAATCTGCTATCAGTCTCTCCTGCAATCTGGCAGAACTCCTGAGAGCCTGGTTTGTTTTTCTTTGCTGACTGAAAGTATTTCTCCTATCAGCCTTCGGGATGATATGGGCGGGATAGAAATAGTGTGTGTAAATAAATAAATAAATAAATCTACTAGCTCATTAATTTCTGCAGCTGGCCCAGGTGCCAAGCCTTTCTCAAGCCCAAAGCCTTGGGAATTCTCTGGTAGCAAATCAAGCTCAGAGACGATACCATCATCCCCAAACCCCTCAGGAACATTCCCATCAGAAAAGTCACTTTGAACAGGAATCCCATTGTCATTCTCTGCATCTAGAGCAACCTCATCACTAGACACATGAACCTCATTGTCACTCCCAACATAGAATGCCCTGATCATTAGACACAATCACAGGCTGAACTCCAACACACACAATTAAATAGGAAATAACACTTTCAAACCAAGTACAGAATTTTCTTCAAACTTTGTTACCTAGTTTAATAATAATAATAATAATAATAATAATAATAATAATAATAATTTTATTTCTTACCTATCCCCCTCTTCTTGTAGCTCAAGGCAGGTCACGGGATGGTCAAAGCACACAAATATTGCAAAAATTCGATGAACTCACGCATTGAAGATACATATTAAAAAAGTATATCTATAAAACATGTATTATGTGTTTTGTTTGCAGCAGTTAAAGAAAGCTGAAGACAAAGGGAGAAGGTGGGAGGAGGAGAGAGAAAACGGGACATTTTAAAAAGCAACTGGAAAAGTGGGAAGGCAAGGGAGTGATGGGGATTGTCCCACTGGAAGGCGCATTGTTGGCTTTCTTCCCTTCCCTGCATCCTCACCTTTGACCATCTTTTCCCCCAGTCTCCGGATTCTCCTTTGGTCTCGGTGATGTCCCACCTGCTCTCCTTCCTGGAGCATTACTCCCAGATGCAGCGGCTGCAGGAGAAGGCAGGCGAGTACCGCTCCCGGCTGCGCAAAGAGGAGAGCCGGCGGCGCAAGCAGCTCCGGAGCCTGAAGAGAGCCTGCAGGCAGCGCATGCAGGACAAGCTCAGCCTCATCGAGAGCCTGGAGCGCATCATCGCGGAGCAGCAGAGCCTCCTGGAGAAGGTGCACGCAGGTGAGCCCAAGGGAGGGGTCCACAGAGGCCAACGTTGCCATTTTTGTCATGCCTGTCACATCGTCATGACTCAGCCGTCCCTCTAGGTTCACATCTCCAGTCTCTAAACTCTTTCAGTGGAATGTGCTGTGTTCACATGTTCATTAGAACTGTATTTCTTTAACACAATGGAGTTACATACGATGTATTTCTAACGAACGCAGAATTTTCTTCCTGACAGTTCCTGCCTAGCAGAACACGGTTGATCTTTTACTTAGGCGATCCCTCGCAGTCCGAGGATGATGGTCCTCCAAGTGTAGTGTCCTGGGGGTGGGTCTGTAGGTGACTGTGGAGCCCTATTCTTGACCTGCATCTTTTCCCGCAGTGAGGGCATCGGTTTCCAGGTGGAAGGCAATCCCGGTCGGGGATGGCTTGAGGCACCTTCCTCTTGGCACGTTTCTCTCTTTCGCCCTCCATTCGTGCCTCTTCAAATTCTGCAGCACTGCTGGTCACAGCTGACCTCCAGCTGGAGCGCTCAAGGGCCAGGGCTTCCCAGTTCTCAGTGTCTATGTTGGCATTCATCTCCGACTCTTCGTGACCTCATGGACCAGCCCACGCCAGAGCTCCCTGTCGGCCGTCACCACCCCCAGCTCCTTCACGGTCAGTCCAGTCACTTCAAGGATGCCATCCATCCATCTTGCCCTTGGTCGGCCCCTCTTCCTTTTACCTTTCTCAGTGTCTATGCCAGAGTTTTAAGGTTGGCTTTGAGCCCATCTTTCAATCTCTTTTCCTGTCCACCAACATTCTGTTTTCCATTCTTGAGTTCGGAGTAGAGCAACTGCTTTGGGAGACGTGGTCGGGCATCCGGACAACGTGGCCAGTCCAGCGGAGTTGATGGCGGAGGACCATCGCTTCAATGCTGGTGGTCTTTGCTTCTTCCAGCATGCTGACATTTGTCCACTTGTCTTTCCAAGAGATTTGCAGGCTTTTTTGGATGGAACCGTTCCAGGAGTTGCATGTGACGTCTGTAGACAGTCCACGTTTCGCAGGCGTATGGCAGGGTTGGGAGGACAATAGCTTTATAAACAAGCACCCTGGTCTCCCTACGGATGTCCCGGTCCTCAAACACTCTCTGCTTCATTCGGAAAAATGCTGCACTCGCAGATCTCAGGCGGTGTTGTATTTCAGTCTCAATGTTGATGTCTGTAGACAGTCCACGTCTCGCAGGCATATAGCAGGGTTGGGAGGACAATAGCTTTATAAACAAGCCCTTGGTCTCCCTACGGATGTCCCGGTCCTCAAACACTCTCTGCTTCATTTGGAAAAATGCTGCACTCGCAGAGCTCAGGCGTGTGTATTTCAGTGTCAATGTTGATGTCTGTAGACAGTCCACGTCTCGCAGGCGTATAGCAGGGTTGGGAGGACAATACCTTTATAAACAAGCACCTTGGTCTCCCTACGGATGTCCCGGTCCTCAAACACTATCTGCTTCATTCGGGAAAATGCTGCACTTGCAGAGCTCAGGCGGTGTTGTATTTCAGTGTCAATGTTGCTGTCTGTAGACAGTCCACGTCTCGTAGGTGTAGAGCAGGGTTGGGAGGACAATAGCTTTATAAACAAGCACTTTGGTCTCCCTACGGATGTCCCGGTCCTCAAACACTCTGTGCTTCATTCGGAAAAATGCTGCACTCGCAGAGATCAGGTGTTGTTGCATTTCAGTGTCAGTGTTGCTGTCTGTAGACAGTCCACGTCTCGCAGGCGTATGGCAGGGTTGGGAGGACAATAAATGCTGCACTTGTAGAGCTCAGGCGGTGTTGTATTTCAGTGTCAATGTTGACTTTTGTGGAGAGGTGGCTGCCAAGGGAGCGGAAATGGTCCACATTTTCTAATGTTACACCATTAAGCTGTATCTCTGGCATTGGAGAGGGATTGGCTGGTGACTGCTGGAAGAGCACTTTGGTTTTCTCGATGTTCAATGACAGGCCGAGCTTCTCGTATGCTTCTGCAAAGGTGTTTAGAGTGGCTTGTAGGTCTTCTTCTGAATGTGCACAGATGACGTTGTCATCAGCATATTGCAGTTCTATAACAGATGTTGTAACCTTGGTTTTGGCTTTCAGTCTGCTGAGGTTAAATAGCTTGCCCTCTGTCCAATAGATGATTTCTACTCTGGTCCACAGATCCACCAAATAGTACCCTTGCCTAGCTCACATTGAAGTAGTTTGCTTGCAAGAAGGTCATGAGGGACTATGCTGAAGGTCTTCCTGACGTCAAGATCTGCTCCATCCATAGTGTTCATTGCATCTACCAAGCTTGTAACCCTATAAGATGAGATAAGATGAGTCTGGCATGACTTGTTTTTGAGGAATCCATGTTGACGTTGAGTAATCACAGCATTCCTAAGTGATTGCAGGTGGCCTCCTTGAGGATCTGCTCCAGGATCCTTCCTGGTCTGGATGCCAGGCTGAGATGTGCTTGCTGTGATGTTCTCTTCTCCTCCACCCAGGTGTGACACTGCCCTCACCTTGCTTGCTCTACCCAATGGCTCCGGCTAGTGTCCATCAGCTGGTGGAGTCCATCCATGCACTCCAAGGAGAGAGGAGTCGGCTCACGGAGGAAGTGGCCAGGCTCAGGCAGAAGGCGGAAGACCGGGAGAAGGAGACCGAGAACCTGGCCGGTACCTTCTGCCAACAGGTGAGGTCTCAGGTGGAGTGGCCATTGCTCGGCCAAGTTGCATCCTAGATACCTGAGCTTGAGATCGACCTGCCAGTCCCTCTTATCTTTAACTACCTTTGGAAAGTTCTTTATACTTCTCCATTTTAATTGTCTTCATGTTGTTTGTTGTTTGGTTTGCCATTTGAATCCCAGAGCTGGAAGGGACCCCTAAAGGCCATCCAGACCAACCCCCTTCTGCCAGAAGGGAAGGCAACATCTGATCCCTCCTGGCAGATGGCCATCCAACCTCTTCTTAACATCCTCCATCATACTCACAGGCAATATATTCCACTGTCATAGAGTCATAGGATCCTAAAAGGGTTAGAAGGGGCCCCCAAAGGCCATCCATCATTCTGCCATAAGGGAAGGCACTATTCGATTCCTCCCAACAGATAGCCATCCAGCCTCTGCTTAAAGTCCTCCATCACACTCCCTGGCAATATATCCCACTGTCATAGAATCATAGAATCCTAAAAGGGTTAGAAAGGGCCCCCAAATGCCATCCAGACTAACCCCATTCTGCCAGAAGGGAAGACACCATCTGATCCTTCCCGACAGATGGCCATCTAGCCTCTGCTTAACATCCTCCATTACACGTCCAGGCAATATATCCCACTGTCATAGAATCATAGGATCCTAAAAGGGTTAGAAGGGCCCCTCAAAGCCCATCCAGATCAACCCCATTCTGCCAGAAGGAAAGGCACCTTATGATCCCTCCCGACAGATAGCCATTCAGCCTCTGCTTAAAGTCCTCAATCACACTCAAAGGCAATAATCCCCCCATCATAGAATCATAAGATCCTAAAGGGGTTAGAAAGGACCCCCAAATGCCATCCAGACTAACCCCATTCTGCCAGAAGGGAAGACACCATCTGATCCTTCCCGACAGATGGCCATCTAGCCTCTGCTTAACATCCTCCATTACACGTCCAGGCAATATATCCCACTGTCATAGAATCATAGGATCCTAAAAGGGTTAGAAGGGGCCCCCAAAGGCCATCCAGACTAACCCCATTCTGCCTGAAGGGAAGGCACCATCCGATCCCTCCCAACAGATGGCCATCTAGCACCTGCTTAAAGACCTCCAGAGAAGGACACAGGCTCCACCAGATTTGCAAGTCATGTAGGGTTGGAAGGGACCCAAAGAGGATATGCCTGTATCCTCTGGTTCTATCTGTCTATCATAGAATTGATAGATCCAATTCAGGGCATGGCAGTGAGATCAAAGAATCCTAGGATCCTTGAGTTGGAAGGGACTCCCAAAGGCCATCCACACCCCATATATATATGATTCCATGCAGTGCAATTTAACTGTATTGAGCTGCATTATTTGGCAATGTAGACTCACAGACTTATGAAACATTATGCATGGCTTTGGAGGAACCTAAGAGCCATAGAACCCAACAGTTGGAATGGAACCCTAAAGGTCATCCAGTCCAACCCCCCTTTGCCAGGATGGCAGGAAGCCCTCCTAACAGATGGCCAGCCAGCCTCTTTTTGAAACAAACTGACTCCCAGGCAGTTCCATATTCTACTTGAGTTGGAAGGGACCCCCAAAGGTCATCTATTCCAACCCCCTTCGGCCAGGCAGGTAGACACAACCCAAGTCCTCCAAACAGACAACCACCCAGCCTCTGATGAGTACCTGCCTCGCTATCTTTGTACTTGGATGGGCCAGGATAACGTGCTTGGTTCCTTCTCCTCTCCTGGCAGATCCAACGCCTGAAGCAACAGATTCAAGAGCGAGAGGAGGAACTGGCGCGGCTCCGCATGGGAACGGTGAGGAGAGCATCCCCTTCCATCCCTTCCCATCCTTGCAAAACAAAGAAGGGAAAATCAGAGAAACTTATAGCGTTGGAAGGTATCACAAAGGCCATCTAGTCCACCCCCTCCTGTCATTGAGGGAGACATGTCATCATCTATTGAGTAAAGTATTTCTATCCCAACCTTTATCCAAAGATCTCAGGGTGACTTTGGGGTGAAATCCATTTAAAACAATCAATAAGTGCAAAAATCCAGCCATAGCTCAATGTTATGGAAGTTGTAGTTGCCCAAGGTCTTATAGCCTTCTCTGGAATGTGTGCTCATGCTTCACCAAACTACAGCACCTATGTCTGCATCTACACTGTATAATAAATGCAGTTTGACACCACTTTGACTGCCATGACTCAATGTTATGGAAGTTGTAGTTTCCCAAGGTCTTATAGCCTTCTCTCCCAAAGTATGCTGGTGCTTCGCCAAACTACAGCAACTATTGCTGCATCTATTCTGTATAATAAATGCAGTTTGACACCACTTTGACTGCCATGACTCAATGTTATGGAAGTTGTAGTTTCCCAAGGTCTTATAGCCTTCTCTCCCAAAGTATGCTGGTGCTTCGCCAAACTACAGCAACTATTGCTGCATCTATATTGTATAATAAATGCAGTTTGACACCACTTTGACTGCCATGACTCAATGTTATGGAAGTTGTAGTTTCCCAAGGTCTTATAGCCTTCTCTCCCAATGTATGCTGGTGCTTCGCCAAACCACAGCAACTATTGCTGCATCTATTCTGTATAATAAATGCAGTTTGACACCACTTTAACGGCCAGGACTCAATGTTATGGAAGTTGTAGTTTCCCAAGGTCTTATAGACTTCTCTCCCAAACTACAGCAGCTATTGGTGCATCTGTACTGTATAATAAATGCAGTTTGACACCACTTTAATGCCATGGCTCAATGTTATGGAAGTTGTTGTTTCCCAAGGTCTTACAGCCTTCTCTGGAATGTACACTCATGCTTCGCCAAACTACAGCACCCATGGTTGCATCTATATTGTAAATAAATGCAGTTTGACACCACTTTAAGTGCTTGGCTCAATGTTAGGGGGTCCTGGGAGTTGTAGTCTAGTGAGGTATCCACATTATTTGACAGAGAAGGTGAAAAACCTTGTGAAAGAGGAAGAAAGCAAGTGAGCAAACTGGAGAAATAAGGTGCCAGGAGGGAAGGAAGGAAGGAAGGAAGGAAGGAAGGACGTTGGAGAAATAGGCTGCCAGGAACTAAGGGAAGAAGGATGGATGAATGGATGGAAGGAACGAAGGAAGAAGAAAGATTGCTGAAAGAAATAGGCTGCTAGAAGGGAAGGGAGGGAGGGAGGGAGGAGAAGGAAGGAAGGAAGAAAGGGAAGGGAGAGAGAGGGGGAGAAAAGAAGGAAGGAAGGTAGCTGGAGAAACAGAGAAGGGAAGGGGAAGAAGGAAAGAAGGAAGGAAGGAAGGAGGGGAGGAAGGGAAGAAGGAAGAAGGGAGAAAAACAAGAGGGAAGGAAGGAAGAAAGGAGGGAAGGAAGGAGGCAAGATTGCTGGAGAAACCTACTACTAGAAAGGAAAGAAGGAAGGAAGGAGGAAAGAGGGAAGGGAGGAAGGAAGGGAGGGAGGAAGGAAGCAAGAAGAGAAATGAAGGAAGATAGCTGGAGAAACAGAATACTAGAAAGGAAAGACGAAGGAAATAAGGAGGAAAGGAGGAAGAAGGGAAGGGAGGAAGGAAGGGAGGGAGGGAAGGAAGATAGCTGGAGAAACAGACTACTAGAAGGAAGGAAGGAAGGAAGGAAGGAAGGAAGGAAGGAAGGAAGGAAGGAAGGAAGGAGGGGAGGGAGGGAGGGAGGGAGGGAGGGAGGGAGGGAGGGAGGAAGGAAGGAAGGAAGGAAGGAAGGAAGGAAGGAAGGAAGGAAGGAAGGAAGGAAGGAAGAAAGAAAAATTGCTGGAGAAATAGACTGCCAGAAGGGAAGGGAGGGAGGAAGATGGAAAGGAAGGAGGAAAGGAAGAAGGAAAGGAAGGGAGGGAGGGAGATTGCTAAAGAAATAGACTGCTAGAAGAGAAGGAAGGCAGAAGAGGAGGAAAGGAAAGAAGGATGATTGTTGGAGAAATAAGACAGCCAGAAGGGAGGGAGGAAGGGAGGGAAGGAAGGACCCACCAAGACCCCAATCTATCCACTTCTCCTTCTGCTCTGGCTCCCCCTCCCCTCCTTCCATGGGGATCCACTTCTGCCCCATTGGACCTTTTGTGCTTTCTCTCCTTTGCAGGGGATCACCGACTCGGAGAAGCGGATCTACAACCTGACGGTGGAGAACGAGGGGCTGAAGCAGAGCCTGGGCCTCACCCAGGGACTCTTGGAGCAGCTGGCCACCACCTCGGCTCAGCCCCCACCCCACCTCCTCAAGGTCAGGCCCCTTGGCAGGGAACCACAGGGTTTTAGAGTCGGAAGGGACCCCCAGAGGCCATCTAGTCCAACCCGGTCAAAGACTCCCGACAGGTGGCCATCCAGGTTCTGTTTCAGGAAGGAAACTATTAGAATCCCAGCCCTGCATTGAGAGGTTCAAAGCTCCCAATGCTCTGCAGACATTTATTATTATTATTATTATTATTATTATTATTATTATCATTATTATTTTGTTTATTTATACCCTGCTTGTTCTCTCCACCAGGAGACTCATTAAAAGCATTTCCATACAATTTAAATTCTGCAAACATACAAACATTAGCAAGAAGTCAAGAATGAAAAGCGTATACCCAGGTGGCCAACTGCAAGGTCAAAACAATAAGGCAAATTTCAGTATCTGATGCTGCAATGCAGACTTGGATTGGCTGGGTCTTGTGTAAAAGTAGGGCAACTAAGGTATTTTCTTCTGGATGTCCTCCTTGATGGAGTTGAGGATGGTGCTAATGGAGAGATCTAGGTTGGAGAAAATGTAGGAGGAGAGATTATGATGATGATGAACCTGGGGAAATTGCGAAAGTATAATAATATTAGCGACTTAGAGCTATGTATTGTTGAAGGCTTTCATGGCCGGAATCACAGGGTGGTTGTAGGTTTTTTGGGGCTATATGGCCACGTTCTAGAGGCATTCTCTCCTGACATTTCACCTGCATCTATGGCAAGCATCCTCAGAGGTTGTGAGGTCTGTTGGAACTAGGAAAAAGGGTTTATATATCTGTAGAAAGACCAGGGTGGGACAAAGGACTCTTGTCTGCTGGAGCTAGGTGTGAATGTCTCGACTGACCACCTTGATTAGCATGTGATGGCCTGGCAGTGCCTGGGGGAATCTTTTGTTGAGAGGTGATTAGATGTCCTTGATTTCCTTGTTTCCTCAAGCAGGGTATAAACAAGCTGGAGCTAGGTGTGAATGTCTCAACTGGCCACCTTGATGAGCATTTGATGGCCTGGCAGTGCCTGGGGCAATCTTTTGTTGAGAGGTGATTAGATGTCCCTGATTGTTTCCTCTCTGTTGTTTTACTGTTGTCATTTTAGAGGTTTTTTTTAATACTGGTAGCCAGATTTTGTTTATTTTCATGGTTTCCTCCTTTCTGTTGAAGTTGTCCACATGCTTGTGGATTTCACTGGCTTCTCTGTGTCATCTAACATGGTGGTTGTGAGAGTGGTCCAGCATTTCTGTGTTTTCAAATAATACACTGTGTCCAGGTTGGTTCATACGGTGCTCTGCTATGGCTGACTTCTCAGGTTGAAGTAGTCTGCAGTGCCTTTCATGTTCCTTGTTCCAGTATTAAAAAACCCTTAAATTACAACAGCACAACAACAGAGAGGAAGCAAACAAGGACATCTAATCACCTATCAACAAAAGATTGCTCCAGGCACTGCCAGGCAATCAAATGCTAATCAAGGTGGTCAGTTGAAACATTCACACCTAGCTCCAACAGGCAAGAGTCCTTTGTCCCACCCTAGTCATTTCACAGATATATAAACCCATTTTTCCTAGTTCCAACAGACCTCACTACCTCTGAGAATGCTTGCCATAGATGCAGGCAAAACGTCAGGAGAGAATGCCTCTAGACCATGGCCATATAGCCCAAAAAAACCTACAACAACCCAAAGGACTCTTGTCTGCTGGAGCTAGGTGTGAATGTCTCAACTGACCACCTTGATTAGCATTTGATGGCCTGGCAGTGCCTGGGGCAATCTTTTGTTGAGAGGTGATGAGATGTCCTTGATTGTTTCCTCTCTATTGTTGTGCTGTTGTAATTTTAGAGTTTTTTAAATACTGGTGGCCAGATTTTGTTCATTTTCATGGTTTCCTCCTTTCTGTTGAAATTGTCCACATGCTTCTTGTGGATTTCAATGGCTTCTCTGTGTAGCCTGACATGGTGGTTGTTGGAGTGGTCCAGCATTTCTGTGTTCTCAAATAAGATGCTGTGTCCATTGTCCCACCCTGGCCACTCCACAGATATATAAACTGTTGAGATTAATTTCACAATTCAGCAGCAGATCAGTTGCACAACTTCAGCGCTTTCCAGTAGCTTCTTCCTGCACAGCTCTCTTCAGTCAACTGTTCCCACAGCCTGCAGCCACGCTGGAACCTTTTACAGACACTTGAGCACATGCCCGGCCATTGTCAGTTTTACCATTGTCTTTCCCCCAGTCTAGATGACATTACAAACTTACCACAGCATACAGTTATATCTTGTCTTAGCAGACAGGTTCTTTTAATCATTTACATATAGCCTTTCATGAACAACATCATAGCACAAGGAGAGAGAAATACACACTGTACATGACTTCCTTGTATACAATTCTATACAATTACACATAGCAATCTCTGATTGGTTCCCAACTCATTAACTTAACTCAGACCCAGGATTACATCATTCACAATCACCTGGACTAGGCCAGAACACATTCCCCAAATGATGTCCTATATACAGTTAATGCATGACTCAGCATTTCCAATAGAAGCCCATTAGCAGTGCATGACTCAGCTATATTACATTACAATACACTGTAAAACCTGACATAAACCCTTATTCCTAGTTCCAACAGACCTCACAACCTCTGAGGATGCTTGCCATAGATGCAGGCGAAACGTCAGGAGAGAATGCCTCCTGACGTGGCCATATAGCCCAAAAAAACCTACAACCACCCAGACTTAGAGCTAGCTTTCCTTGTTCACATTGCTTGCATTAGTGCAACCTCCAATCTCTCTCTGTCTCACCTTCCAGGAGAATGAGGACCTGCGGGGCAAAGTCCAGTGCCTGGAAGCCACTTTGCAGCAGAAGGTGGAGGAGGCGGTGGGGCTGGAGGCCCAGATGGACCGTCTCCAGTGGCGCAAAGAGGAGGAAGTGCGCCGCCTGGACGAGCAGCTGCGTGACCTCCAGCTCTCCTTGGAAGCCCAAAAGAGCCGCCCACCTGAGATCCAGGTGAGCCCGGGTGCAGTTCCTCATGTGCAGCTATTGGCTGCCTTCAAGTCCTTCTTGTCTCGGGCTGAGAGAGTGTGACTCTCCCAAGACCACCCAATGGCCAAGTGCAGATTCAAACCAGGGTCTCCAGAGACCTCGTCCAACACTAAAACCACCATATTATGAGCCTGCTGTTTGCAGAATACAACCACCTAGCTGATCGGCTTAATCAGTTTGGGAGGCTGCTTTGCCGACTGAATCATCCATTAGCTCAGCCCCTAGATTACACACAAGGGAGGACCACCTGCGAGTCTTTGGACCCTGACCCTGAAAATGCCAGAGACCTAGCTTGGGATCAAAACCGGGACTATCCCAAGGAGTCTCCCTTAACTCTGCAAAGAGCTTCCCTGATAAATGGAGAGCCATTTGAGAGTCCCGAGATGAGCCAGGACGCATCCTCGATGCCAAAAGGGGAGATTCTGGAGTCTGCTTCTCATGGCTGCTTGTTCGATGGTTTTTGCCCTCTCGATCTCGGACTGTCCTACCCATGCCCTTGGTCTGGGCGGGGAGCTCCGGGGACCACCAATCAGGAAAAGGATTGGCCCTCTCTGCCTGAAGTGGAGGCATTGGATGTGACAGAGATCCTTAGACGGGTGCCTGTCTCTCCCTTAGTGTCCCCCTTTTGTGGAAGCCCCCAGCGACGTCGCTGCCTCTCTCTATCAAAGAGGCAAGCTCCGAAGATGGCGACTGATCTTGGGGCCACTGTTGGTGAGCTTCTATCTTCCTCTCCAACTCCCAAGAAGTTCCGGCGCAGGCGCGCGGGTTTTCTTGATCAGAGATGGAAACGCCACCATGATATGCACCAGATCTCTGATGAAAGGCCAGAGCAAACTATTTTGCTGGCGGAGGGAGCTTCTGGCGCTTTGCAGAGTACTGGATTGACTGCAGGCCAGGACAGACTGACGGTGGCCTCTGGAGGGCCGGAAGCCCCAGACATGGACAGATGTACAGCGATAGGAACTGGCAGACCTCTGAAACGTAGGTCCCAGAGACGTGGCTGTCATCAAAAGAAATTTAAAACTAGAATCTTCTGGGGAGTGGGATTTGGCAACCGGACAAGATCTACAGCTACTGCCCCCTCCCACAAATTGGCCTACGCTCCCCCAGGTGGCTCCAGATCTGTAAATATGGAGGAGAGAGTACAACCCCAAGAAACCAGAGCCTGGGACTCAAATATAAGAACTGTGGGCATAAAAGAGAGAGTGTCTTCCCAGTCTATGGGAGTTAAGAACCCACTCCAGCACTCTCAAGGGAATCTGGATCCGACATCTTCTAGATTATCCCCCCACCCACAATGCTGGCCGGGTGCTCTGGCCTTTACACCTGCTCCTCACCACTCTGAGGGCCCCACTTATGACCACTTGTTAATTGGCCATGCCCCATCTCCTTTTCAGATGGCCAGTCAAACACTGGGTACCTAATCTGTGCTGCAGAGCCTCCAAGAGAAGTAGGTCTATGCATGGGGATTCCTACGATCTCTGGGAGGGGGAGATACGATGGTAGGCGCAGGCCGAATACTAGAGGGAGGTTGAGTCGGCGGGAGACTCGGCCCCCCTCTAACCTGCGGCCTATCCCCAGGTACATCTGTGACAGGCAACCAGTTTCCTCCCCTCCTACTCTGGTGTTAGTGAATGCTAGGTCCATAAGGAACAAAACTGCTACCATCAGGGACTTTCTTAATGATCAGGGAGCTGACCTAGTGTGTATTACAGAAACTTGGATCCAAGAGGGGGATGAGATCCTACTCCAGGAAATAACATCTCCAGGTTATGCAATCACTCACCAGATGCGGACTGGGAGGCGGGGGGGTGGGGTGGCTATGCTCGCCCGAGAAAGTTTTTCTCTTAGGGCAGTTCCTGTGCTGAGCATCCCTGGCATTGAAAGTGTTGGCCTGGTGTGGGATTCCTGTGAGAGCACAGCCTTTCTGCTGGTATACCGTGCGCCCAGCGCACCAGTGGACAGCCTATCCCAGCTGCTTGAGACTGTGTCGGAGTGGTCCCTGAGGTTCCCCAGACTTATCGTCTTGGGGGATTTCAACGTCCACGCTGATGCAGACTCTTGTTCATCAGCGGCTATGGACCTAGTGTCTACCATGGAGACACTAGGACTCTCCCTCTGTACTACTGGGCCCACGCATCGGGCGGGGCACATGTTAGATTTGATTTTCAGTGCAGGAATTCAAGTGACCCAAGCCTCCACAATAGAGGTTCCATGGTCGGATCACTGCGCCCTGAGAGTCCAGTTGGAGCATGCCTACCCACGCTGCAAGGGCGCCGAGCCAATTTGGGCTCGCCCAAGGAGACTTATGGAACCCAGTAGGTTCCGGAATGCTCTGAGGGATCTGGAGCCTGCCAGCGACTCGATCGATGTGCAGGTGGACACATGGAACATCTGGCTATCCAATGCACTCGACGAGATCGCCCCTAGACGCCCTCTCAAACCCCGTCGAAATCGGTCTCCTTGGTTCACCGAGGAACTTCGACTGATGAAGCGGGAAAAGAGACAGCTGGAGGGCGTGTGGCGAGAACTCCGTGACGGGGCATCGAGATCAGCTTATGAGGCATTCAGGGAATCCTATGAGCATGCTATCACTGAGGCAAAGCGAGTATATTATGCTTCTTTGATAGCGTCTGCTAGCTCACGCCCGGCAAAATTGTTCAAAATAATTCGATCTCTAACGACGGTTCCTACCGTCCCAAAAAGTGGTGATCAGGCCCCTTCAGCCGAGGTTTTTCAGAGCTATTTTGCAGACAAGATCTCGCTACTTCGCCGGGACCTCCCTGCCACAATTGATACAGTGAGAGAACTTGAGACTCCGTGGCCACTTGCTGGGCCCCCTCGACCGGTTCATCCCGCTGGATGCAGGGGCTGTCGATAGGCTCATAGCTGCAGCTAGACCGACCACTTGCTCCCTCGAACCGTGTCCCTCTTGGTTGGTGAAATCCTGCTTGGAGGGATTACGGGACCCTCTGTTGAAGATCATAAACAGCTCCCTTGAGCAAGGAGTCTTTCCAGAGGGTTTAAAAGAGGCGGTGGTCTCTCCTTTGCTGAAGAAACCAGATTTAGATCCCTCGGTTCCCTCCAGTTACCGCCCAGTTTCAAATCTCTCGTTCCTGGGCAAGGTGATTGAGAGGGCAGCAGCGGAGCAGTTGCAGCAATTCCTAGACGACACAGCCGGACTAGATCCCTTCCAATCCGGCTTCCGTGCGGGGCACGGGACAGAGACTGTGCTGGTCTCCATCACGGATCACCTTCGATGCCAGCTTGACCAGGGCGGGTCAGCGCTGCTTGTGTTATTGGATCTCACAGCAGCATTTGACACAGTCGACCACAATCTCTTGACCCACCGCCTTGCTGTTGCTGGAATCAGGGGGACAGCTTTAAACTGGCTGTCCTCCTTTCTTCACAACCGTGGACAGCGAGTGGAGAGGGGAGGCCTGGTCTCTGAGAGGTCCCCTCTATCTTGTGGGGTTCCTCAGGGGGCCATTCTCTCCCCTCTGTTGTTTAACATCTATATGCGACCACTTGCTCAGCTGGTTCGAGGTTTTGGGCTTGAGTGTTATCAGTACGCCGATGACACTCAGCTGGTGCTGAAGATGGAAGGCCGACCGGACTCTGTACCCGATTGTTTCCATCAGTGCCTCGAGGCCGTGACTGGATGGCTGCGTGCCAGCAGGTTGAGGGTGAATCCAGCAAAGACGGAGATCCTATGGCTGGGTGGATCGGGCAGTGGGGACATCCATCTGCCCACCCTGGATGGCGAGGCGTTACGCCCGTCATCATTGGTCAAGAGTCTGGGAGTCCTTTTGGACCCTCTGCTGACAATGGAGGCCCAGGTCTCCGCCGTGAGCAGAACCGCCTTCTTTCACCTGCGGCAGGCTAGACGGCTGGCCCCTTACCTGTCCAGGGACGACCTAGCTACGGTGATCCAGGCCAGTCCAGTCATCTCAAGACTGGACTACTGTAACGCCCTCTACATTGGCCTCCCTCTGTCGGTGATTCGGAAGCTCAAGTTGGTACAAAACGCAGCTGCTCGGCTTCTTGCGGGAATTCCGATGAGATGCCACATAACACCAATCTTACTACAGCTGCATTGGTTACCAATTGAGCACCGGATCACTTTCAAAGGGATGGTACTCACCTTTAAGGCCTTGCATGGTCTGGGGCCAATGTATCTGAGGGATCGTCTCACCCCCTACCAACCCCAGAGATCCCTCCGTTCTGAGGACCAAGATCTATTGGAGGTCCCCAGTGTCAAGACCTTGCGTCTAACGGCAACCAGACGCAGAGCCTTCACAGCAGTGGCGCCATCAGTCTGGAATGCTCTGCCACCTGAGGTTCGTGCCCTGCGGGACTTACCAGCTTTCCGCAGGGCATGTAAGACATACCTGTTTCGACAGGCTTTTAATGTTTGATAGTGTTGTTTTTAAATTGTTTTAAATTGCTTTTAAATTTTGTTAGATTTTAGCCATTCTTGTAAGCCGCTCCGAGCCCCAGGGGAGTGGCGGCATAGAAGTTTACATAATAAATAAACAAATAAATAAATAAATAAATGATGCCTTAACCAACTGGAAACCAGTACGTGGATGACATACCTGCATCTTACAAAGGATGCAGGTACTCATAGAATCCTAGAGTTGGAAGAGACCTGTTGGGCCATCCAGTCCAACCCCATTCTGCCAATAAGCAGGAAAATCACATTCAAAGCACCCCTGACAGATGGCCATCCAGCTTCTGCTTCAAAGCCTTCAAAGAAGGAGCCTCCACCACACTCCAGGGCAGAGCGTTCCACTGCTGAACGCCTCTCACAGTCAGGAAGTTCTTCCTTGTGTTCAGGTGGAATCTCCTTTCTTGTAGTTTGAAGCCATTGTTCCATTGCGTCCTAGTCTCCAAGGAAGCAGAAAGGAAGGCCCCTCCCTCCTCCCTATGACTTCCTCTCACATATTTATACTTGGCTATCATGTCTCCTCTCAGCCTTCTCTTCTTCAGGCTAAACATGCCCAGCTCCTTAAGCCGCTCCTCATAGGGCTTGTTCTCCAGACCCTTGATCATTTTAGTCACCATTCCAGCTTCTATAGTATGTTTCCATTGGCAATTATCACAAGTCAAAACTATTTGATGGACAGTGTAGATGCATCCTTAGAAAAAAAATACATTTACGTAACAACAACAACAACAGCAACAACACTGTGTAACACAATAGCACAATTAAACAGGAAACAACATTTTCAAATCAGGACACGGTAGATGCACCCTTAGAAAAATTACATTTACATAACAATAATAACAATAACAACACTATGTTACACAATTTTGGGGTGCTTTCTGGGAGACATGTCAATGGTATTTCATACTACTTAAGGATTGTAGTTTGCACCCAGCTTATCTGTCATGGCTGCCTCTTATGGGGCACTGGGACTTGTAGTTTCCTGCCATGTATTGAAGAAGGTCCAGAGCTGTGTGTAATGAAAGTCGCAATGAAGGAGTGCAATTGTGTGGAGTAGAAGGGATCGAAGCCCCTAGTTTTGGAAATAAATGCCATACAAAGTGCAATATTTGAATGAGATAATGATCATGTATCTGCATGTCTCACAGTCAGGAAGTTCTTCCTCATGTTCAGATGGAATCTCCTCTCTTGTAGTTTGATGGCTTCAAACTACAAGAGAGGAGATTCCATCTGAACATGAGGAAGAACTTCCTGACTGTGAGAGCCGTTCAGCAGTGGAACTCTCTGCCCCGGAGTTTGGTGGAGGCTCCTTCTTTGGAAGCTTTTAAGCAGAGCTGGATGGCCATCTGTCAGGGGTGATTTGAATGCAATATTCCTGCTTCTTGGCAGGGGGTTGGACTGGATGGCCCATGAGGTCTCTTCCAACTCTTTGATTCTATGATTCTATGATTCTTTGTGTTTGCAAATATACATAAAATACAATTAACACACCATCTCCTCCTGTTTGCCTGTATATAATGATCATGTATCTGCGTGTGTTTGCACACACACACACATACAGTGCATCTGCATATGTTTGCATATATATGTGTGTGTATATATACAAACCCACACACACACAACATCTCCTGTTTGCCTGTATATAATGATCTGCATGTGTTTGCAAATATATCTAAAATACGGTGCATCTGCATGTGTTTGCATATATGTGTGTGTACACACACATACACACACGTAACATCTCCTGTTTGCCTGTATATAATGATCCTATACCCGCATGTGTTTGCAAATATATCTAAAATATGGTGCATCTCCATGTGTTTGCATATACACACAACATCTCCTGTTTGCCTGTATATAATGATCCTATATCTGCATGTGTTTGCAAATATATATACAATATGGTGCATCTCCATGTGTTTGCATATATATGTATGTGTATGTATATATACATATATATATACACACACACATACATACACACACAGCATCTCCTGTTTGCCTGTATATAATTATGATATATCTGCATAAGTTTGCAAATATATATAAAATACAATGCATCTGCATGTGTTTGCATATATCTGAATGTGTTTGCGTATAGATAGATAGATAGATAGATAGATAGACACACACACACAACATCTCCAACATCTCTCTTCCTGAAAGCTCCACATTTAGAATGATAGAATCCTAGATTTAGGAGGGACCCTCAAAGGCCATCCAGTCAAGCCCCTTCTGCCAGCTGAGGGGACACAATCAAAGCACTCCCGACAGTTGACCACCCGTTTCTTTTCTCCAATGCATATCCAGTACGTCACCCAGACGGTGGAGGTGGACTCCCCGCGCAGCCTGCAAGCCGTGGCCGAAGCCGAGGAGCGCAACCGGACCTTGACCAAGCAGCTCTCGTGCCAAACCCAGCGCTGCCAGCGGATGACCCAACAGCTCCACTCCTCCGAAGAGGTGGCCCGAGGACTGCGGAACAAGGTCAGGCAGGAACGGGGTCAGCAAGGGTGGTTCAAGAGGGAAGGATGGATGCCTAAGCACTCTCCTCCTTCTCCCTCAGGCACGGGTCAACTTGGGCCCTCCCTCCAGGTGTTTTGGACTTCAACTCCCACAATTCCTAACAGCCGGTGTGGGAGTTGAGGTCCAAAACACCTGGAGGGAGGGCCCAAGTTGGCCCGTGTCCATTTCACCTTATTTTATTATCTCCTCTCCCTTTGCCTTTTTCATTATACTCTTCTATTCTTTATTTACTAATCTTCTTCTTTTACTTCTATTCCTTCTTCTATTTTGTCTTCTTGATTAACTTCTACTTCTTCCTCTTCCTCTGGCAGGCCTGGCAGTGCCTGGGGCAATCTTTTGTTGAGAGGTGGTTAGATATCCTTGTTTGTTTCCTCTCTGTTGTTGTGCTGTTTTAATTTTAGAGTTTTTTTTAATACTGGTAGCCAGATTTTGTACATTTTCATGGTTTCCTCCTTTCTGTTGAAATTGTCCACATGCTTCTTGTGGATTTCAATGGCTTCTCTGTGTCATCTGACATGGTGGTTGTGAGAGTGGTCCAGCATTTCTGTGTTCTCAAATCATATGCTGTATCCAGGCTGGTTCCTCAGGTGCTCTGCTATGGCTGACTTCTCTGGTTGGAGTAGTCTGCAGTGCCTTTCATGGTCCTGGATTCGTGTTTGGGCCAGTGATTGCGGCCATGAAAGCCTTCGACAATACTTAAGAAGAATGCTTGGCTATACTTGCTGGGCCTTTGTGATCCCCCTTACACAATGAAGCCTATCCTGTCCATAAATGCTGCTGGGTGACCCCTGAGTGGACGAAAGCAGCATCCGTTGCAAGGCAGTGGCTTTGAGCAGAGAGTTCACAGGGCTTCAAAGGCCCATTTCCTCTTTACATTTGCCCTGGAAGCTTGAAAGAAGGTGTTTCTGTGCACAGTATCGTACTGGAAATCTCTTAATGATTCCTAGAGAAGGGAAGGATAGAGATCCTAGACGGAACCGGTTGCTGAGTGAAGCTACACTTTCCTCATTATGGCCATCTCCAAATTATTTATTTATTTATTTATTTATTTACTGTATTTGTATACCTCCTTTCTCAGCCAATTGGCGACTCAAGGCGGTTTCCAACAAATCAGTATACATAAAACAATATAGATAAAAAACATTAAACAATATAAAACATCACAAAAGTAATAATAACAACATTATCAGCGTCTCATTATTCTGAAGCATTATCCAATTCCATTGTCAGGTCATTCAATTTCCTATATTCGCTACTCTGTATTTGTAAAAGCTTGCTCGAATAGCCACATTTTAACTTGCCTCCAAAACGTCAAGAGGGAGGGAGCAGATCTGATCTCCCTAGGGAGGGTGTTCCATAGCCGAGGGGCCACTACTGAGAAGGCCCTGTCTCTCGTCCCTGCCAAACGTGCTTGTGATGATGGCGGGACCGAGAGTAGGGCCTCCCCAGATGATCTTAAAGACCTCAGTGGTTCGTAAAGGGAGATACATTTCAAATGTGTTTCTTTATTTCCACTGATGACAGATCTCCGCTTATGAGTCTGAAATCGCAGGGTTGCGGCAAGAACTGCTCTGCGAGATCAACCAGTTGGAGGCCAGAAAGGAAGAGGCCGTCCGGGAGGCCTCCCAGTGCTCCCAGCAACACTTGCAGCACCTGCGCCAGCAGCTGGCAGGTAACACTATGCAACAAACTTTGGAAAATGTTCTGTTCCTGGTTTGAAAGTGTTGTTTCCTGTTTAATTGTGCGGTCCTTACTTTGAAAGTAGTTGTTCTACTCCACAAACTATGTTGAATTGGCTCTTAGGAATTGTGGGAGTTGAAGTCCAAAACACCTGGAGGGCCCAAGTTTGCCCATGCCTGGTATTGTATCTCTGCATTTCATTGTTTGCCCTTTCCGCTTTAGTGCCCCACATTTCTTGTAGCTCTCAGGTAGCTTCAGCACCTTGGAAAGCTCCCTGAAGCTTTGCTGAAATAGAAGCCTGTGGCTGTTCTAGAGAGAAAAAAATGTGCCCTCCTTGTAATGTATCCATTACAGTTACTACCTGCTTAGAATTCCTTCTATAAAAACAAAAAGTGGTAGAACACCAAAGCTTCCAGCAATGGAAAAGAAAATCCACTTTAATTGCCTTGGTTCAATGCTACAAGGTTTGAATGAAAAGTAATGCCTCTACCTTCGTTACTTGAGTTTGGATGGGACTATTTTAATAAATCAAACACAGAAATAATCCTTAGAATGTGCTCTTTAACTACCACTACTCACTTTCCCACACAATCACCAGACAATTGGATACATTTTTTTTGGGCTATATTGCCATGTTCTAGAGGCATTTTCTCCTGACATTTTGCCTGCATCTATGACAAGCATCCTCAGAGGTAGTGAAGTCTGTTGAAACTAGGAAAAAGGGTTTAAATATCTGTGGAATGACCAGGGTGGGACAAAGGACTCTTGTCTGCTGGAGCTAGGGGGTGAATGTTTCAACTGGCAGTGCCTGGAGCAATCTTTTGTTGAGAGGTGATTAGATGTCCTAGTTTGTTTCCTCTCTGTTGTTGTGCTGTTGTAATTTTGGAGTTTTTTTAATACTGGTAGCCAGATTTTGTTCATTTTCATGGTTTCCTCCTTTCTGTTGAAATTGTCCACATGCTTGTGGATTTCATTGGCTTCTCTGTGTATTCTGATATGGTGGTTGATGGAGTGGTCCAGCATTTCTGTGTTCTCAAATAATATACTGTGTCCAGGCTGGTTCATCAGGTGCTCTGCTATGGCTGACTTCTGTGGTTGAAGTACTCTGCAGTGCCTTTCATGTTCCTTGATTCATGTTTGGGAAATGCTTCATTTGGTGGTATCTACATCAAAACTCCAACCAACCATCACCCAAGTCAAAAAGGAAGCACCATTAAAGCCTTGGCAGACCGTGCAAAAAGAACCTGCGAAGCCCACCTCCTTCAAGAGGAACTGAACCACCTCAACTGGGCTCCCCAGGCCAGTGGAGACTCCACCTCAGACATCAGAAGAGCTGCAAGATCAAGAAGAAGCCATGAGAGTCAAGACGAAGATCCACCCAGAGGGAAAGGGTTCTTGACAGACATCAAGGGAACCACTGACCGCATTGTGAAGCTGATGAGGAAACACAACATACAAACTATCTATAGACCCACCAAGAAAATCCAACAAATGCTACGTTCAGCAGAGGACAAGAGGGATCCTCTCACTTCTGCAGGAGTCTACCGGATACCATGCAGCTGTGGACAAGTCTACAGAGGGACCCCCAAACGCAGCATTGCACAAACATGAATCAAGGAACATGAAAGGCACTGCAGACTACTTCAACCAGAGAAGTCAGCCATAGCAGAACACCTGATGAACCAACCTGGACACAGCATATTATTGGAGAGCACAGAAATGTTGGACCACTCCAACAACCACCATGTCAGAGTACACAGAGAAGCCATTGAAATCCACAAACATGTGGACAATTTCAACAGAAAGGAGGAAACCATGAAAATGAACAAAATCTGGCTACCAGTATTAAAAAACTAAAAAATGACAACAGCACAACAACAGAGAGGAAACAAACAAGGACATCTAATCACCTCTCAGCAAAGGTTTGCTTCAGGCACTGCCAGGCCATCAAATGCTAATCAAGGTGGTCAGTTAAAACATTCACACCGAGCTCCAACAGACAAGAGTCCTTTTTCCCACCCTGGTCATTCCACAGATATATAAACCCTTTTTCCTAGTTCCAACAGACCTCACAACCTCTGAGGATGCTTGCCATAGATGCAGGCGAAACGTCAGGAGAAAATGCCTTTAGAACATGGCCATATAGCCCGAAAAAACCTACAACAACCCAGTGATTCCGGCCATGAAAGCTTTTGACAATAAATTGGATACATTTCTGCCAACAATGAACAAGTTTTGTGAAGCCATCATGGAGGAAGTCAACACTCTGTTTCTGCAACCAGCGTCTCACAGTTCTCTCAATGTCTTCATCGGAAGCATCATGATGTCCCCACAGATCTTCTTTCATTATTGGGAACAGATGGAAGTCAGGCTGTGCTAAATCTGGACTGTATGGAGGATGTCGTATGGTAGTGAGATCCCGTCTCTGAAGTTTCAAGTCTGTGCACTTTCATTTCAGGCGTCAGCATCCTGGGTACCCATTGGGCACAGATCCTCCAATAGCCAAGCAAAGCAATAACGTGACCCACATTTTCTTGTGAAATGCTGATTATGCTTGAAATTTCTCTCTAAGTGATACAACGATCGTCCTGAATCAATTGTCAACCTTTTGCTTGTGAAACTTGGTGGTTTCTGTCACAGGACGTCCAACTCTTTGTCATGCAACTCAGTTGTTCCCACCTTAACATCTTTAAAATTACTGGTCCAACGATGCACAGTACTCACATCAACACAATCACCTTAAGCAGCTTGCATTCTCTGATGAATCTCCTTTGGGGTGACACCTTCTGCTCTCAATAATTCAATGACTGCATGTTGCTTAAGTTGCATTGACCGACTATCTGCGCTGGGTTTCATACTGTGCATTTTAACAACACAACTGTTCAATGCTAAATGGAACTGTAGAGGAGAGCCTACTGAACAAGCCAGTACCTGCCGCATACGTTTCTTAAGTCCCATTGACCGACCGTCTGAGCAGGGTACCATACTGCACACTTTATCAACACAACCGTTCAATGCTAAGGCTTCCTGCCAAAAAGGAACTGTAAAGGAGAGTCTACTAAACAAGCCAGTACCTGCCGCATACGTTGCTTAAGTCCCATTGACCGACCGTCTGAGCAGGGTACCATACTGCACACTTTAACAACACAACCGTTCAATGCTAAGGCTTCCTGCCAAAATGGAACTGTAGAGGAAAGTCTACTAAACAAGCCAGTACCTGCCGCATATTAATACTGCCATATGTTGAGGAATTACGAAGGTGGAGGCATTACTTTTCATTCAACCCTCATATATTATGGAGTCATGGGATCTGTAGTTTGACAAGGCCTTGAAAAATGCTGATGTGTCACCAAACTACAAATCCCAGGATTACATAGGATTTGGTCAATGACAGTTAAATTATAGATGATGTGATGATGATGGTGATGGTGGTGGCATTCTTGAAGTCTGCTGGGATTTTCTCGGTCACCCACACTTTTTCTATGAGCTGGTGGAGTTGGTGTGTCAGCTCGGGTCCTCCCTCTTTAAAGATTTCAGCAGGGATCCCATCCGGTCCGCTGGCTTTGTTATTCTTTTGTTGGCTGATGGCATTGCTGACTTCTTCCAGACTAGGCAGTGCTGCAAGCTCATCCCTGGTTTGTTGTTGCGGGATTTGTGAGAGGACCTCTTCGGCCACATTGGAGCTGCGGTTCAGGGGGCTTTGGTAGTGTTCTTTCCAACGTAGTGCAATTGAGTTTTGGTCCTTCAGGAGTTTGGTTCCATCTGATGAGCGTACAGGCTGTATGCCATGGTTTCTTGGTCCATAGATGACCCCACTGGACGCGGCAGTCCAGTCAGGGATGAGAGAGGCAGACTATGTTTAGGGCACCTTTTCTAGCCCCCTCCCCATGTGGGGTGAGCAGAGTGGGTCCTCAATAGGGCTGCTCAGTCGCGGATACAGCTGCCGAACTACTCAACTGCCTCAGACCTTGAGGTAGAACGACCTCAAGGTAGATGATGTCCAAAAGAGGAGCTCCTGAAGCAGCTTTGGCTCAGCACTAAGATTACTATGTTATGTGAATCTAATGTGCAAAGTGATTTGCACAAAGTGCAAAGGTGAGTGTTAGATTCAAGTAAATACAGTAAATTCTTGGCCTCACTTTCCTTGCAGGGTTAGGAATCAGTATGCCAAGCCATTTCTCTTCTCCTTGTCTTCTCTTCCAGGCGTGCAACAGCGTCTAGACTCCCTCCAGCCGCTCCTCCGGGGCATGAAAACCGACTACGGCAGCCTGCGTGGACAAGTGCGCAACTTTGCCGACTGCTACGAAGCCGCCCTCAATGAGGCTCGGAGGCAGGTGAGAGCCTTGGGCAGGTGAAGGGTGTTGGGTTTCGCCTGACAGCTGGGGACTGTGAGAATATTTGGTATCTACAGCAGAGATCTGAGTGCAGCGTAGCCATCGCTATATATGAGCATACGGTAGGAAGCGGGAGAGAATCATAGAATCATAGAATCAAAGAGTTGGAAGAGACCTCATGGGCCATCCAGTCCAACCCCCTGCCAAGAAGCAGGAATATTGCATTCAAATCACCCCTGACAGATGGCCATCCAACCTCTGTTTAAAAGCTTCCAAAGAACATGGTGCTCCCTTCTCAAGCAAAAGGGAAGAAAGCACTAAAGGTTTTTTTGGGAACAAGGTTGGAGGGACCTCTCCATGCAGCATTAAGGTAATAAAGTACTGAAGACTTTTGGGAAGGAGGTGGAAGTGACCTTGCACATCCAGGCATGAAACCAAACACAGCTTGGGTTACATAGATCTAGTAAACAGAGAACAGTCATAGAGTCATAGAATCAAAGGGCTGGAAGAGACCTCCTGGGCCATCCAGTCCAACCCCCTGCCAAGAGCAGGAATATTGCATTCAAATCACCCCTGACAGATGGCCATCCAGCCGCTGTTTAAAAGCTTCCAAAGAAGGAGCCTCCACCACAATCCGGGGCAGAGAGTTCCACTGCTGAACGGCTCTCACAGTCAGGAAGTTCTTCCTCGTGTTCAGATGGAATCTCCTCTCTTGTGGTTTGAAGCTATTGTTCCCTTGCGTCCTAGTTTCCAGGGAAGCAGAAAACAAGCTTGCTCCCTCCTCCCCCCTGTGGCTTTCTGTCACATATTTATACATGGCTATCATATCTCCTCTCAGCCTTCTCTTCTTCAGGCTAAACATGCCCAGCTCCTTAAGCCGCTCCTCATAGGGCTTGTTCTCCAGACCCTTGATCATTTTAGTTGCCCTCCTCTGGACACATTCCAGCTTGTCAATATCTCTCTTGAATTGTGGTGCCCAGAATTGGACACAATATTCCAGGTGTGGTCTAACCAAAGCAGAAAAGAGCATGGGGAGCAGGACTTCCCTGGACCTAGACACTATGCTCCTCTTGATGCAGGCCAAAATCCCATTGGCTTTTTTTGCCACCACATCACATTCCTGGCTCATGTTTAACTTCCTCCCCACGAGGACTCCAAGATCTTTTTCACACGTACTGCTCTTAAGCCAGGCATCCACTATTCTATATCTTTGCATTTCGTTTTTTTCTGCCTAAGTGGAGTCTCTTGCATTTGTCCCTGTTGAACTTCATTTTGTTAGTTTTGGCCCATCTCTCTAATCTCTCAAGATCGTTTTGAATCCTGCTCCTGTCCTCTGGAGTATTGGCTATCCCTCCCAATTTGGTGTCGTCTGCAAACTTGATGATCCTGCCTTCTAACCCTTCATCTAAGTCAGCAGCCACATCCCACAGGACAGCCTCCACGTCCCACAGGACAACAGTCACGTCCCACAGTGGTCCCTGTGTCCCTCATTGCTCCAGATACCAGCATGGATGCTTCTTCAGTTCCAACAGGGATTATTATAGAGTCTGGGCTAATTATAGAGTCGGTGTTGCACTCCAGACCAGGAAAGCCCTCTGACTTTAAACACCACACAGCTGAGTAAAAATGCAGGCAGTTTATTGAAGATAATTAAAAAGTAGTAGCAGTAAAAAAATACTCCATAAAATAGGTAAATCCAATTATGTAAAAAGATAAGCAGAAACGAATAGTCCAGGAAATTAGTCCATCAGAGTTCATGAAAAACACAGACAGAAACTTCCAAGGTAAAACTCCAAAACTTGAATCATGAAATCAAACAAGGCACTTAACATATGAATCTATCCAAGGCAAGGCTTCCAAGGACCAGGAAAGATGTCTTGACTCAAGTCCAACATTGCTTCATCTGACTATAGATTCTGTACTTGGCACTTTTATCCCCTAATCTACTCTGTGCCCCAAGCAGCCAGGAACGGATTTCGTTTCAGTCTTGACTCTGTTATCAGTCTCTCTCTCCGTCTGGTAGAATGCCTGAGATATTGGTTTGTTTGCCTGTGCTGACTGAAAATATGCCTTCTATCTACTGTCTCAAGAATAAACAGAGGCTGGAGGGCCATCTGTCCAGAGGGCTTTGATTGTGTATTCCTGCCTGGTAGAAGGGGGCTGGACTGGATGACCTTTAGGGTCCCTTCCAACTTTATGATTCTATATGAGTGGGCATCCTTGGCCTTTTCTCTCTCTTGCATCCCTTTCATCCAGATGAGTTCGGCCATCAACGAAGTGTCCAACGCCAACCATTCGCTGCGGGAGCGCTACCAGCGAGAGGTGCAGCTGCGCAAGAAATACCAGGACCAGCTCTTGGAGCTGAAAGGTACTGCGCATTGAGGGAATTGTGGAAGGCCGAGGCCTCAACACACAATACAACAATACAAAACCTAGGCAAATTAAAAACAATTAAAGCAATCTAAACAATAACAAACAATGAACAATCCACTAAGACACGATAAAACTGGGCCGGGCCAGAGTAAGGATACAAGAGTTAAAAGTGCTGATGTGACGGGTGGAATATGAGGCTTATGAGCAAGTGCAGTGTGTGGTGTGCAGCGGTCTTAGCTTTAATAAAGTGCTTCTGGGACTTGGTATTGGAGGTTTCCTATTCGGGGAAGGCACATCGGAACAGCCAGGTCTTCAAGTTCTTTCTGAAGACTGCCAATGTAGGGGCCTGTCTAAGATCTTTGGGGAGGGTGTTCCAGAGTTGGGGGGCCACCACGGAAAAGGCCCTGTCCTGTGTCCCCACCAAACGCACTTGTGATGCAGGTGGGATCACGAGCAGGGCCCCTCCAGATGAACGAAGGGAGCGCGTGGGTTCATAAACGGAGATGCGATCTGTGTGTGTATATATCTATATCTATAGCTGGATGGCTCTTTGTCAGGAGGGCTTTGTTTACGTTTTCTATCATACTATATCTCTGTGTGTGTGAGTCATACATATCTCTATCTATGGCTGGATGGCTCTTTGTCAGGAGGAGCTTTATTACGTTTTCTTGCCCTGGTGAAGGGAGTTGGACTGGATGACCTTAAGTATTTTCTGTTGGTCATGGGGGTTCTGTGTGGGAAGTTTGCCTCAATTATTTCATTGGTGGGGTTCAGAATGCTCCTTGATTGCAGGGGAACTATAAATCCCAGTAACTACAACTCCCAAATGTCAAGGTCTATTTTCCCAAAACATCATCTGTGTTCATATTTGGGCATATGGAATATTCATGCCAAGTTTGGTCCAGATCCATCATTGTTTGAGTCCACAGTGCTCTCTGGATGTAGGTGAACTACAACTCCAAAACTCTTTTTTTAAAAAATGATCTTTATTGATTTTTTTATATATAATATAGTAATTCAAAACAGATAGTAAGAAAAACACTAGAGAAAAGGGAAAAAGAGAAAAAGAGAGAAAAAAAGGGGGGGGGGAAGTGCAGAAAGTTAAAAGGAAAAGTCAAGAAAACTCCACTTTGGCAGAAAAAATGAAATGCAAAGATACAGAAAGGGGGACAATGCCTGGCTCGAGAGCAGTATGTGTGAAAAAGATCTGGGAGTCCTCGTGGACAACAAGTTAAACATGAGCCAACAATGTGATGTGGCGGCAAAAAAAGCCAATGGGATTTTGGCCTGAATCAAGAGGAGCATAGTGTCTAGATCTAAGGAAGTAATGATCCCCATGCTCAATTCTGCTTTGGTTAGACCACATCTGGAATATTGTGTCCAATTCTGGGCACCACAATTCAAGAGAGATATTGACAAGCTGGAATGTGTCCAGAGGAGGGCGACTAAAATGATCAAGGGTCTGGAGAACAAGCCCTATGAGGAGCGGCTTAGGGAACTGGGCATGTTTAGCCTGAAGAAGAGAAGGCTGAAAGGAGATATGATAGCCATGTATAAATATGTGAGAGGAAGCCACAGGGAGGAGGGAGCAAGCTTGTTTTCTGCTTCCTTGGAGACTAGGACACGGAACAATGGCTTCAAACCACAAGAGAGGAGATTCCATCTGAACATTAGGAAGAACTTCCTGACTGTGAGAGCCGTTCAGCAGTGGAACTCTCTGCCCCAGAGTGTGGTGGAGGCTCCTTCTTTGGAAGCTTTTAAACAGAGGCTGGATGGCCATCTGTCAGGGGTGATTTGAATGCAATATTCCTGCTTCTTGGCAGAATGGGGTTGGACTGGATGGCCCATGAGGTCTCTTCCAACTCTTTGATTGTATGATTCTATGATTCTATGAGAAGTGACTTTCACCACCGGAGGTTTTCCCTTCTTCTTCAGGTTGACTTCCAGGGTTCTTCAAGGATGTTTTTTCCTTTTCTTTCGTTCTTCTTTCTCCTTGATTTTCTTTAAATATTTGTAGATCTTTTTGACCACTCTAATAAAAATAGCTATATGATTGTGTATTAATCTTACATTCCATTTTGGACAAATTTTGGCCTCCACACTATTATTGCCCTGAATATTCATTAAATTGTGTCCAATCCGTACTTATCTCTATTATTCCTTTATTTCTTTGTAATAGATAACTTAATCTGTCCATATTTTTGACATGTAGAATTTTTTTCCCCCATTCTTCAATTGTTGGTATTTCTTCCTTCCTCCACGGTCTGGCGTAGCACATCCTGGCTGCCGTTGTAGATAGGAATATCAATTTATCTACATTTTTCTCAACTTCCATATCTGTAATCTATATCTATATCTATATCTATATCTATATCTATATATATAATAAAGAAGAGTGTTTGTATCGGACAGAGGAATTGTGGAGGGAGGGCGGTGTATGTGGCAGCGTTCTGATTGGCTGCCGCTGTGGTGCTATTTGCATATGGTCTCTGATTGGCCAGCTTCAATAGGAGCCCCTGGTGGAGAAGAGGGTTCATGGCAGAAACGGGGCATGACAGAAGGAAATTTGCATATGGTCTCTGATTGGCCAGCCTCAAATCCAACATTCCGAGATGAGAAAGAGAGGAAAGGAAAGGCCGGGGCCTGGGTCAGAACACTCCCAATACAGATCGAAATAGGCACACAGAGCCCCCATCACCCACTCTACATCCTACTGCAGTTTGGAGGACTATGAACCATGGATGATGGGACTTGCAGTACCACACTCACATTCTGAGACCGCTGTTAACCTCATCCAATGACTGATCAGGACCAAACTTGGCACATAGACCTCTCATGACCCACTTTACGTCCTGGTGTGGTTTGGCCGGGGATGGACCATGGATTATGGGACTTGCAGTACCTTTGCTCAATTCTTGAGACTACTGCAACCCTCATCCAATTACCGATAAAGACCAAACTTGGCACACTGAGTCTCCATGACGCACTCTACATCCTGGTGCAGTTTGGAGGATGCACCATGGACGATGGGACTTGCAATACCTGCACTCCCTTCCTAAAACCATTATAACTGCCAACAATGATGGATCAGGACCACAATTTAAACAGAGAACCCGCATAACCCACTCTACATCCTGGTGCGCTTTGGAAGAATTTGACAATGGATGATGGGACTTGCAGTCACTTCACTCACTTCCTGAGACCACTGAGACCCTTGCCAATGACTGATCAAGACCAAACTTGGCACAGAGAGTCCCCATGACCCACTCTACATCCTGGTGTACTTTCGAGGAGGACAGACCATGGATGATAGGACTTCAAGTACCTCCACTCTCTTCCCAAGACTGCTGCAACCCTCATTAATGTCCGAACTCAACCAAACTTGGCACAAAGAGCCACCATGACCTACTCTACATCCTACTGCGGTTTGGAGTAGGGCATACCATGGATGATGGGACTTGAAGTACCCCTACTTGCTTTCCGAGACTGCTGCAACCCTCAACAATGACTGAACAACACCAAACTTGGCACATAGACCTCTCATGACCCACTTTACGCTATGGTGTGGTTTGACTGTGGATCGAGCATGGATTATGGGACTTGCAGTATCTTCGCTCAATTCCTGAGACCACTGCAACCATCATCCAATTTCCGATAAGGACCAAACTTGGCACACCGGGTCTCCATGATGCACTCTACATCCTGGTGCGGTTTGGAGGATGATGCACCATGGACGATGGGACTTGCAGTTCCTTCACTCACTTAGTGAAACTACTGAGACCCTCATCCAATGACTGATGAAGACCAAACTTGGCACACAGAACCCCCATGACCCACTTTCTCTAATAACCCGGGCAACGCCGGGTCCCCAAGCTAGTATATAATAAAAGAGAGTGTTTGTATGTGGAGGACGGAAGTGCGGAGGGCGGAAGTGTATGTGGCAGCATTCCGATTGGCTGCCACTGTGGTGCTATTTGCATATGGTTTCTGATTGGCCAGCTTCAACAGGAGCCCATGGTGGAGAAGAGGGTTCATGACAGAAACGGAGACATGAGAGAAGGAAATTTGCATATGGTCTCTGATTGGCCAGCCTCAAATCCAAGATTCCGAGATGACAGAAAAGGAAAAGGCCAAAAAAGGGCTGGGTCAGAACATTACCAATACAGACCGAAACTGGCACACAAAGCCCCCATCACCCACTCTACAACCTACTGCAGTTTGGAGGACGATGAACCATGGACGATGGGACTTGCAGTACCACCACTCACATTCTGAGACCGCTCTCAACCTTATCCAATGACTGATCAGGACCAAACTTCGCACAGAGACCTCTCATGAACCACTTTACGTCCTGGTGTGGTTTGGCCGGGGATGGACCGTGGATTATGGGACTTGCAGTACCATTGCTCAATTCTTCAGACCACTGCAACCCTCATCCAATTACCAATAAATACCAAAGTTGGCACACTGAGTCTCCATGACACACTCTACATCCAGGTGCAGTTTGAAGGAGGATGCACCATGGACGATGGGACTTGCAATACCTGCACTCCCTTCCTAAGACCATTATAACTGCCAACAATGATGGATCAAGACCACAATTTACACAGAGAACCCGCATGACCCACTCTACATCCTGCTGCGGTTTGGAAGAATTTGACAATGGGTGATGGGACTTGCAGTCACTTCACTCAATTCCTGAGACCACTGAGACCCTCACCAATGACTCATCAAGACTAAACTTGGCACATGGAGCTTCAATGACCCACTCTACATCCTGGAGCAGTTTGGAGGACGACAGACCATGGATGATAGGACTTCAAGTACCTCCACTACCCAAGACTGCTGCAAAACCCATCTAATGACCAATCAAGACCAAACTTGGCACGCAGAGCCCACATGACCCAATCTACATCCTGCTGCAGTTTTGGAGAAGGGTGGACCATGGATGATGGAACTTCCAGTACCTTCACTCACATTCTGAGACCTCTGCAA